GGCAAAAAAAAAAAAAAAAAAAGCAAATGCCTGTCTCCTGGCTGTATCCCAGTTTTGCAGGAAGTGGTGTTTAGGGAAGACTCGGAGAAAGGCGGCCTGGGCGTGGCACAGAGAAGTTGTTTTGGGGTTCAGGGAAGCTGCTTCCTGTCGTCTCTCTCAGAAGGTATAGAACTCCCTCAGACGTTAGTGTCGTGCAGTGTTGTTTTACTGTGTGTGTCTGGTGTGTGTGTGTGTGTATATATGGTATACGGTAGACAGAGGGAGTGAAAGACATGCGAGTAGTTTCTTCATGTTTGTTTGGTGTGGTCAGCTTTGTAGAGTGATGTTGTTGTTGTTGTAGTGTGGCTGTAGTTTTATGTGCATGCATTGTGTTTGGAAGACGCTTTCATTTCACTCAGTCACGGCGTCATCAAACTATGCCTTTGTTTCTGTTTATTTTGAATACGCGCCCTCTAGTGGCGAAAAATTACATATTGTGCCTTTAAGTAAAAAATTGAAACTCATTTATTATATGAATAATAATACATAATTTAAACTTTAGAAATAATAGTAATTAGTAATAAAATGAACAAATAATTTAAATTTATTTGGTAACACTTTACAATACGTTTAAAATATGCTCTCTTCTCTTTGGCCCCGCACCCAGGTGGAAGCACGCCCCCTGGCATCACAGCTCCCACGGTGACCAGCATTCCATCTCCGATTAGTGTCAACGGTTTCACAGGGCTGCCTCCTCCTCAGGCCAACGGCCAGGCCCCAGCGGAGGCCATGTTTACCAATGGGATCCATCCTTACCCAGGTACTACATGCTCTCATCCACAGATATACAGCAGAAATATAGCAGATTTTAACTTTAAATTATATTTAAAAACTCTATAGACAAACTTTATGGTTACACTTTGCAACAGTAATATACAGGACTAATAATAACATTTTTATGTTGTCATCCTATTTTGACGATTAATGTCAGTGAATTACAGTATTTCTTGCAGTGTAATCAAATTTTATGTTTGTACATTGTGCACTGTTTACTTATGTGTTTAGGAATATAAGTGTTCTTCCTTTTGATGAGTCTGCAGTCTTTTAGTAAACACAAAAGCATGTCATTAAATATGTTTCTAGAAGTTTCTACTTTAACTGCGTTTGGAAATGCCCAGTGGTCGGCTGGTAGCTGTCCAAGTGCGAGTCTGTGTGTGTTGTGGATTGGTATTCACGTCCAGTGCCACAAAAAAAAAAAAAAAAGCAAATGCCTGTCTCCTGGCTGTATCCCAGTTTTGCAGGAAGTGGTGTTTAGGGAAGACTCGGAGAAAGGCGGCCTGGGCGTGGCACAGAGAAGTTGTTTTGGGGTTCAGGGAAGCTGCTTCCTGTCGTCTCTCTCAGAAGGTATAGAACTCCCTCAGACGTTAGTGTCGTGCAGTGTTGTTTTACTGTGTGTGTCTGGTGTGTGTGTGTGTGTATATATGGTATACGGTAGACAGAGGGAGTGAAAGACATGCGAGTAGTTTCTTCATGTTTGTTTGGTGTGGTCAGCTTTGTAGAGTGATGTTGTTGTTGTTGTAGTGTGGCTGTAGTTTTATGTGCATGCATTGTATTTGGAAGACGCTTTCATTTAAAGTGACTCGCTCAAGGGCACAATGGTGATGCTTATGCCTTCCGGAGTTCAATCCTACAAGCTTTTGGTTAGCAGCCCACAACTTTGTCCATTAAGCTACACAACAACCAACTGTGAACTGTGTTTCCTTTAAAGGGATAATTCACCAAAAAATTGTATCCTCATTTACCCACCCTGACCCAATGTTGTGCATGCTGTTTCATACAGCAAAAAAAATATAGGGACATAGGAGCATTGAATAGTAAGAACAGGCAATATTATATAATAACACACACAAGTCGCATTCATTTATATAGTGCTTTATACAATACAGAATGTTTCAAAGAAGCTTCACAGTAATAAACTAACAGTGAGAAAATAACAGTGTCAGTTTTGCAAAGTTCATCAATTATGAAACAAATTCAATTCAGTTATCAGCAGCTCTATAGAAGGCAATGTTGCCATTATTCAGTTCAATTGACCCTTCGCAAAGACCCGCCCCCCTTAGTTACTGTTGCTACGTCTGACAAGCCATGTCGCTCTCACACCACACATCATGTTCTCACGCAGTGAAAAATACATTGTGGAGCAAAGAGGAAACTGACAACATGCCGACAGACTAGACAGAGCAGGTTACTTTTGGTATGAAACAAAGTCTCAGCTTTCAAATTTTGTCATTTTTTAAGAAATTCAAACAATAAATGCCATTTTGTGGCTCTTTAATGTGTCGTGACAGATCACTGTAGCACCTCAGTTTAAGCGGCACGTGAACTGATCATCTCTTTCTCAAAATAAACATGAATGAATATCAGAAGGTATTTTGTTTCAACCAAAACACACCATTTTTCAAGTTTAAAGTCGACCAACGTTAATCTACTCTCCTGTCTGGTTTGTTTGTCGGACAAAATGGTATATTCAGTGTTATAATTGGTCAGATCACCTGTCAATCAAACTCCCGCCTAAGGGTCAATTCAGTTCAGATTTTCTTCTCATCTGACAAATAATGAACAATAATTTTGATTATATGTAATATTTATTGATATTTAAATATGCAATAAAATGCTAAAAAATTTTTTTTTTTTTTTTTTTTTTTTTGCAAATGGAGAAAACATTTTAATGAAATTAATAATGAAAATATAAGAATTAAAATACAATAAAAGTCTTGATTGCATTAAAATGTAAAAATAATTAAAGGGATAGTTCACCCAAGAATTACAATTTTATGTTTATCTGCTTACCTAAAGTTAAAAATCATCATATGTGTTCTACTGAAGAAACAAAGTCACCTACATCTTGGATGCCCTGGGGGTAAGCAGATAAACATCAAATTTTCATTCTTGGGTGAACTATACCTTTAAGGCATGTTTTGCGTACTGTTTTTCACTAAATGAAGTATGACATATAAATGAACTAAAAAATAAATTTAAAACGTATTTTTTATCTTTTTTTTTTTTTAACCCTGTATGTCCTGCAAAATCATTGGACCAACAACTATCATTGAACTGTGGTGCCTTTAAAGAGATAATTCACCAAAAAATTACATTTTACCATAATTTACTCAACCTCATGTCAATACACAAAATAATATAATAACATGTATATTATGCATATTTATGCAATTTCAATTACAAAACAATCTGCATAAGACGAACATTGCAAGAATATTAGAGAAATATTAATATTGAAGTTGTCTGAGGCCGTTTTCATGTTCAATACGTTCGATAACTAAAATGATGGTGCTAATTGCGTTTATATAAAACAAGAGCACGCAAGTCCTCAGTGTGATATGAGAGATGTTGCATTGCTTTCAGTTACCCAGTTGAGCAGTCTGATATTTTGCATTGCCATGGATGACAACAAATGTTAGGAAATATCGGACGCCTGAATGCTGTGATTGACCAATCAGAAACAAGTATTCCAGAGAGCCAGCGTAATTTTCAGTGCAATTCACTGAAAATCTAGGCCATCTTCATCTTCTTTTAAGTTCATACAGATTTGGAACGACATGACAGTTAATTTTTGGCTTAATTCCCCCTGGTTTTAAGTGTAATGTTACTCACAAGTCCATCAAATGAGCCCCAAGCACACAATCCTGAGTGTGGATGCTGCAGTATTTACCATGTTAGTGTTTTAGCAGCGTTAAGTTAGCAGGCTGTGAGAATGTGTATCAGTGTGTAGAACAGGAGCGTTGCGGGCCGGGCCTGAATTGCCTTTATTACTGTGAAAGCTCTCAGCTGATTGATGTGCCGTGTAGAGCTGTAGATCTATATTGTTCTCTGTACACTCTCCGGCTGTCTTTCCAACACTCGGGCAGCGGGGAAACTTGGCAGGGCCCCGTGCGAGTATCACGGCTTAATTGTTTGGGGGTGAACGGTGAGGGGGAGGGAAGTGAGGTAAGATCATTCTCGGTGCACAGCTTTCCCCGAACACACTCAAGCGCACTCAGTGACCCCGACTGTGTCTGTACCGCTCTCGTCTCTCTCTTTCCGCAGCTCAGAGTCCCACTGCAGCAGACCCCCTACAGCAGGCCTACGCTGGAGTCCAACAATATGCAGGTCTGTCACTCAAAGGAGGCTGTTTGTGATTTTCCTGATTCCCAGTTAATAAAAAGTGCCAGCCTTCCCCGCTGCATATGGACAGATCAGCCAGGCCTTTCCCCAGCCACCTCCCATCATCCCTCAGCAACAGAGAGAAGGTGAGTCTGTCAGATATGTCACCTGTAAGAGTGAAGGATTCAACATGGTCACTCTCTGTGACATTTTCCGTAATTGTCTTTTCATTGATGTCCTATTAAAGTGAGATTTTATACATCGATTGTGCTGTATGCAGCTCAAAAGTTAATGATCAGTAAGATTCTGAAAGGACGCATTAAATTAATCAAAAGTGACAGTAAAGACATTTATAATGTTACAAAAGATTTGTTTCTGTTCTTTTGAACTGTTCAAAGTAAAATAAAAAAGTATCACAGTTTTCATACAAATATTCTGCAGGAACTATTTTCATTGATAATAACAACACTGATGATAATAATAAATGTTTCTTAAGCAGCAAATCAACATATTAGAATGATTTCTGAAAATTCTGCTTTGTAACACAGGAATAAATTACATTTTTTAAATATATTAAAATAGAAAACTGTTATTTTAAACTCTGATAATATTTCACAACATTACTGTTTTACTGCTGTTCTTTTGAACTGTTCAAAGTAAAATAAAAAAGTATCACAGTTTTCATACAAATATTCTGCAGGAACTATTTTCATTGATAATAACAACACTGATGATAATAATAAATGTTTCTTAAGCAGCAAATCAACATATTAGAATGATTTCTGAAAATTCTGCTTTGCAACACAGGAATAAATTACATTTTTAAAATATATTAAAATAGAAAACTGTTATTTTAAACTGTGATAATATTTCACAACATTACTGTTTTACTGTATTTTCCTTGATTGCCCTAGACAATACTTTGGATTTGATACTAAGTAGACATAATGAAATCCTAGCAGTAACGAGTTCAACAAACCCTAACAGGACGAGTTAAAATGATTGTCTCTGGTGAATGATGGCCTGTCAGAGATCAACAGACATTAAGGAAATAACCTAGAATGATCCTTTAAGTTAGATTTGGTGCTCTTGGCTGACTTTGTAAAACATTAAACGCAAGACTGTGGTTTCGTCTCCCTCCAGTGGCTGCTATTATAAACTATAAAGAAATATTACCAATAAACCATCATACAGTCACGATCTGTACTCTTACTTTACAAAAAGGAAGACTGCTATGCAGATGACAGGAGCCCATGTGCACGATTTGTCAATTGAGGAGTGCAGATATAAAGAGATTTTCATGTCTGTGGTTCTCATGATCTGTTATGCATTATAGAATGTTAATTAAAATTATTAGAAACCGATGTACACGGGTTCTTTTTGAGACAACGGACAAAACCAGCTTAACTTTGTTCACCATATATTTGTTGATTCTAAAACAAGAAATTATGCATATAAAAATGAGTGCTGTCAAATAATTAATCACGATTAATCGCATCCAAAATTAGTTTTTGTTTATATATGTGTGTACTGTGTATATTTATTATGTATATATAAATACACAAACATACATGTATGTATTTAAAAAATATTTACATGTATATATATTTATTTTCATATATAATTCATATTATATATCTAAATATTTTATATATAAACAAAACATATTTTTCTTAAATATATACATGCATGCGTGTGTATTTATATAAACATAATAAATATACACAGTACACACACATATATTATGTAAACAAAAACTTTTATTTTGGATGCGATTTAATCGTTTGACAGCACTAATAAAAATATAATAATGTACTACAAACTTATACAAAATAAATACAACACCAATGATGATTTTTTTAGCATTGCTAGTTTTTCAATCATATATCTTTGCACAGCCAGTATATGCTGCAGTCATTCCCTTTGGATTGTGGTCTGTGGTGTATGATGGGCTTTAGATTTGTCCCAAGAAATTAAAAACAAACTTTGCCGTGATTCGATGAAAAAGCTCAAGGTCAGCAGAGGAGATCATAATGACGATGATCCGTGAACTAATAATTTCGATCAAGCAGTTTGTCCTTTCTCCATATACAAATGTTAAGAATTGTAAACGAGTTTCCCCTATACAGTGCTTTTCTGTCATTTTACACTCCGTTTGAAGGAAGAGCTAATCTAAAACAACTCTTTTCAGGAGTGCCTGAAGAACCTGGAGGTGTCACCACCGAGTATTTGTTTGTACGGTTATTTCATCTATACAACTTAAGGAGAGAATTGCTATTTCAGATGCCAGGGCAACTGCTCAATAAAGAGAAACTGTTTCTATAGCTTCTACTTTGGCAAGCCGAGTCTAATTTCACCATTTGTCTCTTTGTTTGAACCTGCATCTCTCTTTATTCCTCTCATTTGCACCTATTCTTTCTGTGCTACCTGTCTAACCGCCTCTCTAATCCTCTGTATCCCACAATCCTCCTTGTCTTTCTCTCTCTTTCTCTGTCTCCAGGGCCGGAGGGCTGTAACCTGTTTATTTATCACCTCCCTCAGGAGTTTGGGGACGGCGAGCTGATGCAGATGTTCCTGCCTTTCGGTAATGTCATCTCCTCCAAAGTGTTTGTGGATCGGGCGACAAACCAAAGTAAATGCTTTGGTGGGTAAAAATGATAAGACACCTGTGAAGATTATTCTCATTCCTACTCACACTATTAACATTTTTACCTCATTTCTCTACCACAGCGAAGCTTTCGTTTGAAGCCGGGTGCACACTGTGTGGTTTTTGCTCCAATTTCGCCCGTTTTAGGGATGGTAGGGCTAAATTGAGTTTTAGATCACTTAGTATGACATGCTCACCAATGAGTGATAAATTACTTTTACGATGAATCGTAACTTCTGAAGTTTTTCCAGTGTCTGAAATTTTGACGGAAACTATGACGAACCACTTGTATACAACATATTCCACATAAATATCTTATGATGGTATGTTATCATTGTAATCAGACTATTAAAATGACCAAAAGTTCACACTTAGCAAGTCGTTTGGGGTTTTTCGTTTTGGATTTATGTTATTAATTCGGTTTCGTGTGAAAATGGCAATGTCAGAACAAAGCTGGACTGGTGACACGGTCAAAGTCGTAGATAATATGTATATTTTACTCCTAAAATGTCGTTTCATTGTACAGTCTGAGAAGCACCAATCAAAGAGGACAGAAAAAAATCACAGTGTTCACCTGGCTTAAGACAGAAAAAAAGAATGAATGGAAAATTAAAGGGAAAAAAAGAAGAGGATGTACTGTAGAGTAGCATCTTTATGTCCTTAATCAGCGTGGGACATGAGGCTGTAGGGGGAAACCGCAGAAGCGTGTTTGTGTGTCCCGCTCGTTACTAATGTGAACCTCTATATTTTAATTAGCGCTATCTGCAGCTTCACTGGCTCCTTGACTTATCAGAGGCATCCCATGCATGAACAAACACAACGCTGTTCGATTTCAACTTAATATAAACGCAGTTAGCAGGTGTTTCAGTCTCAGACGTGATGATTTGAAATGCTGAGCCAGCTGAAATGTTCACAATACCTCAAGACAGAACAACTGAGAGTGAGAAAGTAGATAAGAAAATGAGAGCAAATAATTTGTGTTGAAATGTTCATGTGTTAACTGAACATAATTTTGCTGTCATTGCTAAGACTTCAATAACAAGTTGAAGATGATTTACACCATACACTTTGCTTACCAGAAAAAAACTACAAATACATAAATCGTAAACAAAAATAAATAATGCATTTTTGTTGTAATTCAAGCTACCTTTTTAATGAAGTAGCTACACTACAAATTACAAACAAACATAAACTTTACTTAAATGGGCAGTATTTCTTAGACCCCATAAAATTAAAATGACAGTTTTATGGCTTTTAGTCCATGTTTGTTAGCTTTAACTCTATCTAAATGCTAGCAAACTTTGAAAAGTTTTCCACAAACCAAAAATATTAGCGATTCATCTTGTACACACACTGTAAAGAAAAATCAGTAACATTTACGGTAAAATACCGGCAGCTGTGGTTGCCAAAACTTTACTGTAAAAGATATGGTTTCAGCATTTTAGGATTTACAGACTTAAATTTACAGTAAAAAAAAAACGTATTTCATCAACTGATAAAATGTTATTATACCAACCTATTTAAGTACTAATATCTGTTTTGTAGCATTGAAATGCACTGACAGCCACCAAAAACAAGTGGTGATGAGAAAGACACAAGATGAATCAAAGCTCATCACAAACAGCTTTTCCAGAAGGGAAATACTTATATGTGACCCTGGACCACAAAACCAGTCATAAGGGTCAATTTTTCGAAATTGAGATTTATACATCATCTGAAAGCTGAATAAGTAAGCTTTCCATTGATGTATGGTTTGTTAGGATAGGACAATATTTGGCCGACACACAACTATTTAAAAATCTGGAATCTGAGGGTGCAAAAAATCCAAATATTGAGAAAATCGCCTTTAAAATTATCCAAATGAAGTTCTTATTACTTATTACTAATCAAAAATTAAGTTTTAATATATTTACAGTAGTAAATTTACAAAATATCTTCATGGAACATGATCTTTACTTAATATCCTAATGATTTTTGGCATAAAAGAAAAATCAATAATTTTGACCCATACAATGTATTTTTGGCTATTGCTACAAATATACCCCAGCGACTTAAGGTGCACAGTGTCATTCACACAAACACTATCATGGTAACACACGATACTGAAATAATGCAATAAACATTAATTTAACAACATTAGATGTAAGATTAAAATCCTAATGTACACAACTGAGAAGATTGAGAAGAACTGAGAAAGTTATTTCAACAAAAAAGTATTTTTTCAACTTTTGTACACCAGATCGACATTTTGAAAAACACCTTATAACTGGAAAAACTATTTCAAAAGATTTTGACAAAAAATGTAACATCAACTAAGCCATTTTCACTCACTGAAAGTGTAGTTAAGTTAGTAGTGTCACTATTTGTACTTCCCAGTGTGGCTGCTTGCTTAGCATAAATACAAATTTTCATTTAAATTTTACGAGACATTACACTATCTGAACATTAGCAGGTTAATTATTTTCTGTACTCTGCATGTCATTAAACAGAAGATCTGGCTAACTCTTGCTAATGCTAGGAGCGACTGGATATTGTGTATTAGATTTTGCATGTTCTCTGTGCTTCTGATTATTGTGTATAATATGTATGCTGTTGTACTGTATTGATGGACTTTGTGCATATATGTTGAATGTTAAACATGTGGTAAAAATGTGTCACAATGACTTAAGTAAACTTGTTTGATACCCTTTGCTCCTTCATTCATTTCACGCTCACCTCATTCTTTGTCATAAAATCATTTCTGGCCTCATTTCTCCCCTTCCCTCAATACTATCTAATGTCCATCTGTCCATCGCATTACCTTCTCATCTATCTGGTGCTAACCTGTCGTCTTCTCTCTGTCTCCATCTTTCTCCCTTCATTCTCCAGGTTTTGTGAGCTTTGATAACCCGGGCAGCGCTCAGGCTGCCATCCAGTCCATGAACGGCTTTCAGATCGGCATGAAGAGACTCAAAGTGCAGCTGAAGAGGCCAAAGGATGCCAACCGCCCATATTAGCCCCGTCCCTCCCCCCAGCCACCCCTGACCCTGGGGTTGAAGGCCGCCGCTACGCACAGGGAAGAACAGGTTAGCCAAATCACCTTGGAGCCAAAAGACGCAAGGATACACACATACTATACAAGTGAACACATCAGTTCAGTCAAATTTGTGAACTGATTCATTGAAAAGTATAAGTGATTCATTCACTGACTCGATTTCTGTTCTTACTCTGCATAATTCAATAAATAATAAGTCTTTTTGAATATATAGATTCACTCTGAAATAAAAGTAAAACAGTTTGCAGGTGCTGTTTCATGTTGACTTTAAGTCTGAGTATAACAGCTTATGATATAAAATAGGACCCTTCTCTAGTCTGGGCAGTGCTGTGGCAGAGGGGGAAAGATTAGTCATTTCTATGTATTTCATTTCATCTCACATCTCCTCATCTAAATGAAGATGGAAAATTTACCCTGCTGATGCCTTTTAACTGGGCCAAGTTGTTCTACTTGCACAGCTAGTGAGGCAAAAAAGCAAAACTTCATAGAATGTCTTGATGTAAGACTAGATTTATTTTTAACATGTATTTGTTTTTTATGACATTCCAAATTTGTATATATATTTTTTTTCTGACATTCCAAATTTGTATATATATATATATATATATATATATATAT